AACAACTGGTTTTCTTCTACTCCTATAAAACCTATCTTTGCTTGGAAAATAGAAAGTTTTAAAGAACCTTTTTTAGAACCTCATTACCTTTTCTAGGTATACAATTTAATTTTGGACTTTCAGAAACAATATATATATACGGGCAGCACAGAGGCTAAATGGTTAGCACTTCCACCTGGCAGTACTCGGGTTGTTGGTTCGAATCCCAGCCACGGCCCCTCCCTGCTGGAGTTTGCATGTTCTCCCTGTGCCTGCATGGGGTCTTCCTCCGGGTACTCCAGTTTCCTCCAACACTCCAAAGACATGCTGGGAGGTGAATTAGATCCTTTCTAAATTGTCCCTAGTATTGTGTATGTATGAATGTGAGTTAGGGACCTTTGACCTGGAGGGTTAGGGACCGATGTGAATGTACAATATATACAGTCATGGCCGAAAATTGTTGGCACCCTTGATATTTTTCCTGAAAATCAAGTATTTCACACAAAAAAGGGTATTGCATTAACACATGTTTTGCTATACACATGTTTATTCCCTTGTATGTATTGGAACAAATATTAAACAGAGGCAGAAAAGCAAATATGACATAATGTCACCACAAAACCCCAAAAAATGGGCTGGACAAAAGTATTGGCACCCTTAACTTAATATTTGGTTGCACACCCTTTGGAAAACATAACTGAAATCAGTCGCTTCCTATAACCATCAATAAGCTTCTGACACCTCTCACCCGGAATTTTGGACCACTCTTCCTTTGCAAACAGCTCCAGGTCTCTCTTATTGGAAGGACACCTTTTCCCAACAGCAATTTTAAGATCTCTCCACAGGTGTTCAATGGGATTATAGATCTGGGCTCATTGCTGGCCACTTCAGAACTCTCCAGCGCTTCTTTGCCATCCATTTCTGAGTGCTTTTTGACGTATGTTTGGGGTCATTGTCCTGCTGGAAGACCCAGGATCTTGGACGCAAACCCAGCTTTCTGACAACTGGGCCCTACCAGTGCGACCCAAAATCCTTTGGTAATCCTCAGATTTCATGATTGCCTTGCACACAGTCAAGGCACCCAGTGCCAGAGGCAGCAAAAACAACCCAAAACATCATTGAACCTCCACCATATTTTACCGTAGGTACTGTGTTTTGTTCTTTGTAGGCCTCATTCCGTTTTCGGTAAACAGTAGAATGATGTGCTTTACCGAAAAAAGCTCTATCTTGGTCTCATCTGTCCACAAGACGTTTTCCCAGAAGGCTTTTGGCTTACTCAAGTACATTTTGGCAAACTGTAGTCTTGCTTTTTTATGTCTCTGTGTCAGCAGTGGGGTCACTCCTGGGTCTCCTGCCATAGCGTTTCATTTTCATTTAAATGTCGACGGATAGTTCGCGCTGACACTGATGCTCCTGAGCCTGCAGGACAGCTTGAATGTCTTTGGAACATGTTTGGGGCTGCTTATCCACCATCCGGACTATTCTGCGTTGCAATCTTTCATCAATTTTCCTCATCCGTCCACGACCAGGGAGATTAGCTACAGTGCCATGGTTGCAAACTTCTTGATAATGTTGCGCACTGTGGACAAAGGCAAATCTAGTTCTCTGGAGATGGACTTGTAACCTTGAGATTGTTGATATTTTGCCACAATTTTGGTTCTCAGGTCCTCAGACAGTTCTCGTCTCCTCTTTCTGTTGTCCATGCTTAGTGTGGCACAGACAGACACACAATGCAAAGGTTAAGTGAACGTCCTCTCCTTTTTATCTGCTTTCAGGTGTGATTTCTATATTGCCCACACCTGTTACTTGCCCCAGGTGAGTTTACAGGAGCATCACATGCTTGTAACATTCTTATTTATCCGCAGTTGTGAAAGGGTGCCAATACTTTTGTCCAGCCCCATTTTTGGAGGTTTGTGTGACATTATGTCGAATTTGCTTTCTTTCCTCCCTTTTTTTGTTTTGTCCCAATACACACAAAGGGAATAAACATGTGTATAGCAAAACATGTTTTAATGCAATACGTTTCGTGAGAAAATACATGATTTCCTGGTGAAATATCAAGGGTGCCAACAATTTCGGCCATGACTGTATGTATTGAAGGCGCTATATAATACGAACCTCTAATAAATAAATATATATTTTATACATGTGTGTGCATTTACAGTAAAAAAGAATGCTGGCAACCTTGCAGGTCACGGCTCATGCACAGATTTTTTAACGGTAAAACGATCGGACGATTTGCCCATTATTGCCGGGAAAATTGGCCGATCGTCAAAATCGGCCGCAAATTTTCCAACATGACCGATAAATAAAAATGTGCACAAAAACCTGAAAAATGGCCAACCAATTATTAACCCACTAACGGTGCGAAAATCAGCAGATTTTATCAACCCGTCTATGGCGGCATTAGTCTAGGTTGTCACTTGTGCAGAGCGGAACACCACATGTAATGCGCACAGGATTGCACCGCATTCCTGTGCAAATGACATGCGATTGCGGTGCGATTCCAGCCATACGTTTTGTAAGGCTCAAAAGCTGCAGGACCCTTTATTTTTTTTTCACCTGAATTGCATTGCACGGGTGTTCACACCCATGTGATGCGATTTCTGACAATCGTCCTGCGTTTTGCGATCTGTTTCACGGTGTCATTGATTTAACATTGACACCCGCACAGAATCGCATTGGACGCTGTGTGATTGCAATGCGGTGCGGGAAACGCACAGGATTCGCTGGATTTCCCGCACCGCATTGGCGTGAACCACGGCCTAAAACTGCATCTGATCCAGAGGAAGGAAAGAGAACCCTGATAGCCAGTAATATCTCATTCCCTCATTTTCTGTTACTTTGTCTTGTTCTTTATTTGTATGGAAAAGTGTTCATACATTGTACCCAATCAGTGAGCGCTCAGGTAGGTACTGTACAGGGTAAGGACAACTGGGTGCTACACATCGTCCCGGCAGGTTTTATCATCCAAACAATATGCAGCCCATACCTAAACCATATATGTGACCTATACTGTATACCTCATTGTGCTGTAACCCCGGGGGGGGGGGGGGGGGGGCTGCATAGGATGTGAGATAATACCATGGATGAGCAAACTTAGTTAGATAGAAGTAAATGGGCAGAAAGTGAAGGTATACACACTCCCCCGCCACGTTATACGGTCCACCTTGCTAGTGCCAAGAAAATCTCCCCCCACACCATGACACCACCATGAGCCTGAACCATTGATACAAGGCAGGATGGATCCCCCACACCATGACACCACCACCACCAGCCTGAACCATTGATACAAGGCAGGATGGATCCCCCACACCATGACACCACCACCACCAGCCTGAACCGTTGATACAAGGCAGGATGGATCCTCCACACCATGACACCACCACCACCAGCCTGAACCATGGATACAAGGCAGGATGGATCCCCCACACCATGACACCACCACCACCAGCCTGAACCGTTGATACAAGGCAGGATGGATCCCCCACACCATAACACCACCAGCCTGAACCATTGACACAAGGCAGGATGGATCCCCCACACCATGTGTCAGGGCTCCCAGGTATGACCAGAGGTGTGTGACTGATGCAGGGAAACGCAGACTTCAGAAATGTGATAAACAATATAATTTATTAACACTAACAATACAAACATAAACGCAGTGCAATACTAAACATAATACAGTGCAACCAAACCAAACCAACCACCCACAGATAACAGTACATACAAGCAAGCGTCGTAGGCAGGCCAGGGGTCAATATCAATTGGGCAGGTAGGTACGGGGGGAGCAAGCAGAGAATGGTCGGGGTCACAGGCCAGGTTCAGCAGGTAGCAAGCAGCGAGGTACAGAGGGTCAGACAGAGGGGTGGTCAGGGTCACAAGCCAGGATCAGAGCAGGAGAAGTCAGCAGCAGTTCAGATCAGGGTCAGCAAAGGAACAGAAACAGGATGCAGGACAGATACAGGGCCCAGGACAAAACACAACACCAAGGCAGAGTCTGTGGGTCTGGCCATCCCTTAAATACCCCAGTATCATCAGTTCCAGGTGTTAGCTGGCTGAAAGGTTGAGTCTCTGATTGCTGGGAGCACCCGCTGGCCAGCCCTGGTACTGCAGATCAAAAGGCAGGTGAGTCCCACCATTGCTGGCCAGTCCATTCCTAACAGTACCCCCCCCTCAAGGAGCGGCCTCAGGACGCTCCAAACAGTCCTAGCTGGGCAAAATGTTCCACCGCCCGGGTCTGGCAACTGGCGGGATAGCAAAGACTGGCACACCGGGCAGGACTCCGGGCAGCGGCACACCGGGCTGGACTCCGGGCAGCGGCACATCGAGCAGAGGCACTCCGGGCAGAGGCACACCGGGCAGAGGCACATCGGGCAGGACTCCGGGCAGAGGCACACCGGGCAGAGGCACATCGGGCAGGACTCCGGGCAGAGGCACACTGGCAGAGGCACATCGGGCAGGACTCCGGGCAGAGGCACATCGGGCAGAGGCACATCGGGCAGGACTCCGGGCAGAGGCACATCGGGCAGGATTCCGGGCAGAGGCACATCGGATTACCAGGCGGAGCAGCAGGCACCGGGCCCCCGGGCGGGGCGACAGGCACCGGGCCCCCGGGCGGAGCAGCAGGCACCGGGCCCCCGGGCGGGGCGACAGGCACCGGGCCCCCGGGCGGAGCAGCAGGCACCGGGCCCCCGGCCGGAGCAGCAGGCACCGGGCCCCCGGCTGGAGCAGCAGGCACCGGGCCCCCGGGCGGAGCAGCAGGCACCGGGCCCCCGGCGGGAGCAGCAGGCACCGGGCCCCCGGGCGGGGCAGCAGGCACCGGGCCCCCGGGCGGAGCAGCAGGCACCGGGCCCCCAGGCGGGGCGACAGGCATCGTGCCCCCAGGCGGGGCGACAGGCATCGTGCCCCCAGGCGGGGCGGCGGGCGCCGGACCCCCAGGCGGAGCGACAGGTCTCGGGCCCTCAGGCGGAGGCCGGACCCCCAGGCGGAGCGACAGGTCTCGGGCCCATAGGCGGAGCGGCGGGCGCCAGACCCCCAGGAGGAGCGACAGGTCTCGGGCCCTCAGGCGGAGCGGCGGGCGCCGGACCCCCAGGAGGAGCGACAGGTCTCGGGCCCTCAGGCGGAGCGGCGGGCGCCGGACCCCCAGATGGAGCGACAGGTCTCGGCCCTCAGGCGGAGCGGCGGGCGCCGGACCCCCAGGTGGGGCGACAGGTCTCGGGCCCTCAGGCGGAGCGGCGGGCGCTGGACCCCCAAGCAGAGCAACAGGTCTCAGGCCCCCAGGCGGAGCGGCGGGCACCGAGTCACCAGGCACGACAGTGGGCTCCGAGTCAACTGGTATGACTGCAGGCACTGGGTCAGACATTGTATGGTCTGGCTGGACAGCGGGCATCGGGTCACCAGGCATCAGGTCATTTGGCTCGACAGCGGGCACCGCGTCATCCGGCAAGGCAGTGGGCTCCGAGTCAACTGGTACGACAGTGAGCACCGGGGCATCAGGTACCGGATTGTCTGGCTCGACAGCGGGCATCGGGTCACCAGGTATGACAGCGGGCACTGGGTCACCAGGCATCAGGTCATTTGGCTTGTCAGCGGGCACCGCGTCATCTGGCAAGGCAGTGGGCACCGGGTCACCAGATATGACAGCGGGCTCTGAGTCAATTGGCACGACAGCAGGCACTGGATCAGGTACCGGATCATCTGGATCAACAGCGGGCATCGAGTCAACTGGCCTAATAGGATCGTCGGGCTGGATCAGTTCATCATGCTGAGTAGCGGCATCAGGCTGAGGAGAGGCATCCGGCTGAGTAGAGGCTTCAGGCCGGTTCTCAGACGGCAGGCTCACCGGTTTGGATACTGGCAGGATGGTATTGGTTGGAAAGAATTTTCGCTTTTTTCTGGTTTTAACTACTGGAGCACTGCAAGTAAACGCAGGTCTGCAAACGAATGGAGCAGCTGGAGACAGAGAAGAGCTGGAGGATGGAACAGGAGAGGGAGCAGTCACTACAGAGGGCTCTTTTACAGGGTTAAAGGCAGGATAGGTGCAGCGAGTGGGAACAGGGGACTGACATGCGGTAGATAGCCAAGTATACTGGGCTGTAACTGGGGGAGTTGTTGGGAATAGGAGTAGAGCTTTGAGGAAATAGATTAGAAGCAGGACTGGGTCTTTGTAAGCTGACTGAGGCTGGGTGCAACAAGTCTGTCCATGTCTGCAGTAGGGGTTGAACAAAGCTGAGCTTACACAAAGCCTGTCTGACCAATGACTGCACTGCGTTTATACAATCTCTTAGTGTCTGTGGTGAACATGCAGAATAACGCCCCAGAAAGTAATCCACATCATCCTCTAATAACCACACCAGGGACTCAACCTGGTCTGCACTAAATGGTGGCAAAAAGTCATCCCTGCATTCGGGGGAACCAGATGAAACCAACTCAGCACAAACCTCAATCAATGGCTGCACCTCAGAGAACTCTGTGCCCTGATCTACTAGAACATGAGCGAGCCGTATACATTCTAGCAGTTCATCCCGGGGATACTCCTTCAGGGTCTGATAAGCATACTCCCTGTCATCAAACACTAGCAGATATAAATACACAACCTCATCCAGATCCATCCTTCCCATCAACAAGCCAAGATGGCTTCCCTGTGCAGCCACTTCTGGTCAGGATTGGCCTTGGTGTAATGTCAGGGCTCCCGGGTATGACCAGAGGTGTGTGACTGACGCAGGGAAACGCAGACTTCAGAAATGTGATAAACAATATAATTTATTAACACTAACCATACAAACATAAACGCAGTGCAATACTAAACATAATACAGTGCAAACAAACCAACCAACCACCCACAGATAACAGTACATACAAGCAAGCGTCGTCAGGCAGGCCGGGTCAATATCAATTGGGCAGGTAGGTACGGGGGGAGCAAGCAGAGAATGGTCGGGGTCACAGGCCAGGTTCAGCAGGTAGCAAGCAGCGAGGTACAGAGGGTCAGACAGAGGGGTGGTCAGGGTCACAAGCCAGGATCAGAGCAGGAGAAGTCAGCAGCAGTTCAGATCAGGGTCAGGCAGAGGGATGGTCAGGGTCACAAGCCAGGGATCAGATCAGGGTCAGCAAAGGAACAGAAACAGGATGCAGGACAGATACAGGGCCCAGGACAAACACAACACCAAGGCAGAGTCTGCAAGTCTGGCCATCCCTTAAATACACCAGTATCATCAGTTCCAGGTGTTAGCTGGCTGAAAGGTTGAGTCTCTGATTGCTGGGAGCACCCGCTGGCCAGCCCTGGTACTGCAGATCAAAAGGCAGGTGAGTCCCACCATTGCTGGCCAGTCCATTCCTAACACCATGACACCACCACCACCAGCCTGAACCGTTGATACAAGGCAGGATGGATCCTCCACACCATGACACCACCACCAGCCTGAACTGTGGATACCAAGAAAATCTCCCCCACACCATGACACCACCACCAGCCTGAACTGTGGATACCAAGAAAATCTCCCCCACACCATGACACCACCACCAGCCTGAACCGTGCATACCAAAAAAATCTCCCCCACACCATGACACCAGCACCAGACTGAACCGTGGATACCAAGAAAATCTCCCCCACACCATGACACCACCACCATCCTGAACCGTGGATACCAAGAAAATCTCCCCCACACCATGACACCACCACCATCCTGAACCGTGGATACCAAGAAAATCTTCCCCACGCCATGACACCACCACCATCCTGAACCGTGGATACCAAGAAAATCTTCCCCACACCATGACACCACCACCAGCTTGAACCGTGGATACCAGGAAATCTCCCCCACACAACCATGACACCACCACCAGCTGGAACCATGAATACTAACAAAATCTCCCCCACACCATGACACCACCACGAGCCTGAACCTTGGATACCAAGAAAATCTCCCCCACACTATGACCATGACACCACCACCAGCTGGAACCATGAATACTAAGAAAATCTCCCCCACACCATGACACCACCACCAGCCTGAACTGTGGATACCAAGAAAATCTCCCCCACACCATGACACCACCACAACCTGAACTGTGGATACCAAGAAAATCTCCCCCACACCATGACACCACCACCAGCCTGAACCATGGATACCAAGAATATTTTCCCCATACCATGACACCTCCACCAGCCTGAACCGTGGATACCAATAAAATCTCCCCCACACTATGACACCCCCACCACCAGCCTGAACCATAGATACCAATAAAATCTCTCCCAAACCATGACCCCATCACCACCAACCAGCGTGTTGCCTGGCTGTGCAGGACTATAGGGGGACCCAAATACTCAGAAACTCCTAGGGGGTAGTGCTACACTAGTAATTTCACTTTTTATTTAGATATATAGGCAAGGCTCAGCCCGGTGTTTACTGGTATATTGTGTCATATTCATGTCCCACTGGTTTTGTATTGATTTTTTATTAATTACGGTAATGCATTAATGATACACACATTCTCATCTGATGACTCATTTCATGTGTTAGACCCTCGGGTGGGTGTTTGGTAGTCTATAGCTCAGCGCTACTTCTTGGTTTTGTTGAGTGTGGGAGCAGTTTTCGATGTCTGCAGCTTTAGTTTAGTTGATGTGTGTGGCAGAGCGTACAATCTATAGTCCATCGGGTTTAGAGATGAATTGTAAGTCAAGCCTGGAAAGGATACCTGGGGGGTCAGTGGTGCACACGTGTTCCTACGGGGGGGGGTGTTCTGATCTGGAGCTGCGTGTGATTGAATGTGTGCAGAAAAGAAACGTTTCATTGGAAAGTCTCAAACACTTCTGAGTTAGGAAGGTTGTTTTGGTCTCCTAATGTTTGAAATGATGCAGCTTAGTAAGGTTCAGGCTAGTAAGGTTCAGGCTTGGAAGGTTCAGGCTAGTAAGGTTCAGGCTTGGAAGGTTCAGGCTGGGAAGGTTCAGGCTAGTAAGGTTCAGGCTAGTAAGGTTCAGGCTGGGAAGGTTCAGGCTAGTAAGGTTCAGGCTGGGAAGGTTCAGGCTAGTAAGGTTCAGGCTGGGAAGGTTCAGGCTAGTAAGGTTCAGGCTGGGAAGGTTCAGGCTAGTAAGGTTCAGGCTGGGAAGGTTCAGGCTAGTAAGGTTCAGGCTGGGAAGGTTCAGGCTGGGAAGGAGGTTGATTGATGCATCTACTTTGAGGGACGTTTTTATATTTTTGATTTTAAAAGGACTTTCTCCTGTCTTTTTACACAATTTCTTTTTGTGAATGGGTAGTGGTCGCATGTACCGCATACTCATTCACATTGGGGGCCCAGGATCTGGGGAGCCCCTTGCTAAAGGGGGCTTCCAGATTCTGAAGAAGCCCCCTGCAGACCCCCACAACAACAGCCCAGGGTTGTGGGGAAGAGGCCCTTGTCCATGCTTTGGGGGGAGCCCCCCTGTCACAAAGCATCCCCTCCATGTTGAGGGCATGTGGCCTGGTATAGTTTTGGGGGCGCTCACTCATCCCCCCCTTTCCTGATCTTCCTGGCTGCTTGCATGGATAAGGGCCTGGTATGGTATTTGGGGGAGGACCACCATGCATTTTTTTTAAATTGTGTCATGGGGGTTCCCCTAAAAATCCATACCAGACCCTAAAGGCTTGGTATAATCGAGAGGGGGGACCCCATGCCGTTTAGAAAAAAAAATGTAATTGTCAGGCAATGCCTGCAATTATGTTTCCATCCAGTTATCAGCGGGGAACCCCACTGACACCAGGAACCCCACTGACACCAGGAACCCCACTGACACCAAGAACCTCACTGACACCAGGAACCCCACTGACACCAAGAACCTCACTGACACCAGGAACCCCACTGACACCAGGAACCCCACTGACACCAGGAACCCCACTGACACCAAGAACCTCACTGACACCAGGAACCCCACTGACACCAGGAACCCCACTGACACCAGGAACCCCACTGACACCAGGAACCCCACTGACACCAGGAACATGAATGAATATCTCACTACTAAAATACCGCATGACTTCATCATGGAACTCCCGCCAGATTGTGATCTCACCACATCCTCAGATGCAGGAAGATACCGCTTAGTGAATTATTCATGTTCGAAGTTCGTGGTCGAGCATTCTGTAGGTTTGGATGTTTGACCACAAACTGAACGGGGGGGGGGGGGTGTGTTTGGCCCATCACTATTATCCATCTGTCCTGGACTGCATGCTACCTGGGCCCTGCTGGTCCTTCACCTGCTTTGCGCTGCCAGCCCTCCTCCACCTGCAACTAGCCAGCTGCCTGCTGTCCACCCAGTCCCGGGTCTGCTGCTTCTGCTGCCGTCTGCTGTCCTGGCCATCGGACCCATCTCTGGGGAAGCGTCTGTTACTCATGGCTACGATCTCCTGGACAACTTACAGGGACTCATACCTCGCCGGGCTCTTGTAGTCACTGCCTCAACATCAGTGGTCCCTCATCTGGGGCTGTAGGAGAGGCCTCCCTCTACACGTCAGGATCTTCCAACAGGTACGTGGCAGTGACCCTGATGACTATTCAGTCTATCCCATAGAAGAAGAGAATGTGTATTGCCAGGACTGGTCAAGTGTGTGTGATCAGAGGGTAGATGTACAGTATGTGTGAGGGGATCGCAGTCTAACGCTCGTTTCTGTCTCTTTTTAACCCCTCGCCCTCCTGAGGATTTACCCCCCTTATTAATGACCACGCCTCTTTTTGCTACTTTGCACTAATTCAACTGACAATTGCGCGGTCATGCAACGCTGCACCAGAACGAAATTTACGTCCTTTTTTTCACACAAATAGAGCTTTCTTTCGGTGGTATTTGATGACCTGTGCGCGCTTTTTTTTTCACGCTATAAACAAAAACAATTTAAAGAAAAACGATATTTTTTACTTTCAGCTGTAAAAAATATATAGTAAACTCAAAGTTAGTTATAAATTTAGGCCAAAATGTATTCTGCTCCATGTTTTTGTTAAAAAAAATCCCAATAAGTGTATATTGATTGCTTTGTGTGACAGTTATAGAGATACAAACTATGGGAGAGATAATGGAATTTACGCCATTTTTTTGCTATACAGCGCTGTGCTAGTTTAACGGACAATTGCGCGGTCATGCAATACGGTACATAAATGAAATATATGTCTTTTTTTCACACACATAGAGCTTTTGGTGGCATTTGATCACCTGTGCGTTTTTTTATTTTTTGCGCTATAAAAAAAAAGGCTGACAATTTTGAGAAAAAAAACTATATTTTGGACTTTTTGCTATAAAACATGTCCAGTAAAGAAAATCTAAAAATCAAATTTCGTCATAAATTTCGGCCGAAATGCATTCTGCGACATGTCTTTGCTAAAAAATAAATCCCAATACGTGTAAATTAATTGGTTTACGTAAAAGTTATAGCGATTACAAATGGCGGGAAAGATACTGGGATTTTTAATTTTTTCTTATGCTAATAATGGCGGCGATCAGCGACTTATGGCGGCGATCAGTGACTTATGGCGGTGATCAGTGACTTATGGTGGTGATCAGTGACTTATGGCGGTGATCAGCGACTTATGGCGGTGATCAGTGACTTATGGCGGCGATCAGTGACTTATGGCGGTGATCAGCGACTTATGGCGGTGATCAACAACTTATGGTAGCAATCAGTGACTTATGGTGGTGATCAGTGACTTATGGCGGCGATCAGTGACTTATGGCGGTGATCAGCGACTTATGGCGGTGATCAGCGACTTATGGTGGCAATCAGTGACTTATGGTGGCAATCAGTGACTTATGGTGGTGATCAGTGACTTATGGCGGTGATCAGTGACTTATGGCGGTGATCAGTGACTTATGGTGGTGATCAGTGACTTATGGTGGTGATCAGTGACTTATGGTGGTGATCAGTGACTTATGGAGGCGATCAGCGACTTATGGCCGCGATCAGTGACTTATGGTGGCGATCAGTGACTTATGGTGGCGATCAGTGACTTATGGCGGCGATGAGCGACTTATGGCGGCGATCAGTGACTAATGGCGGCAATCAGCAACTTATGGCGGGACTTCAGGGGACATTCTGACACTGGGGGGGGACTGACTTGGGGTCACTGCCATCCCCAGTGACACCAATACAGTGATCAGTGCAAAAAAAAAACACTGACACTGTACTAATGGCACTGGGGAGGAAGGGGTTAACTTTTTTATTTACTGAAAGGGTTAACTGTGTGAGGGGAGTGTTTTACTAGGGGGCGGGGGTGTGTACTGCACTGGACATGCTGATCCAGAGAGATAAACTCTTCTCTCAGCTCAGCATGTCAGGAGCTGACAGGGAACTGACAGAGAGTAGAGCTACTGCATCTGTGCTCTCTGTCAGTGATTGCCGCTAATCGGCGGGACACAGCTGGTAACGACCGGCTGTGACCCGGCGACTGACATCCGCGGCCGTGATCAGCAGGACAGGTAGGGCGGTGGCACGCCTCGCGCGCGCCTCCTACCTGTTTTGCAAACACACGTTTTAAAACGTGGTTTTGCCCAGCCGTGCTGCCCTGCCAACGTATTTCTACAGTGGCTGGGCAGCATGTGGTTAAGCTGCATATTATTTCCTTCCTTCTTTCTGCTAATGAAAGGCAGTGGTTACCTGTTTACTGGTGTTGTATATCTATCTCACACTCTGCTCTCGTGGGAACAAAGCGAGATTAAAAAAACCCAGGAGTTTAAAAAAAAGAAAAAAGACAAAGAAGTCTTCATACCTATCAGTAATAATAATATTGTAGCTGGGCTAATGAATGGCAGCGAGGCTGAAAGTTCTGCTCAGAGCTCAGTGTGCCTTTGCATACAAGAATGGGGCAACCCTCCCAGGATGAAAACCCATGTCATAGATGTGAGCAGATTGTTCTTCTGGAATGTACACGGCCCAAAAAAACAAATGAAAGGAAGACTCTGAAAACCCATCAGATCCCAATGAGGAGGATTCTCCTGCCGGATCTCTATACTGACATGGACGGGGGATGGGTGAGGAATGTAAGGATGCCCCATTGTTTGATGGCAATGAAAACGATCGACTAACAAAGGACTGAGTTCAAAGACACCCCAAAAAAAATTGTGCAGAAGGCGAGTCCATTGTGCTGAAATGTCATTGCAGCAACTCACAATGGTCCTCAGTAGTTTGTTTGCCCCCCACGTGCGTGTATGCATGCCTGACAATGTCGGGGAGGCTCCTAATGAGACCACGGATGGTGTCATGGGGGATTTCCTCCCAGACCTGGACCAGGGCATCACTGAGCTCCTGGACAGTCTGAGGTGCAACCTGGTGGCGTCGGATGGACCAAAACGTCATCCCAGAAGGGTTCTATTGGATTCCTTCATCCTCCAGGAACTGCCTGCATACTCTCATCACATGACGCCGGGCATTGTCGTGCACCAGGAGGAACCCAGGATCCACTACACCAGTGCAGGGTCTGGCAATGGGTCCAAGGATTTTATCCCAATACCTAATGGCTGTCAGGGTGCCATTGTCTAGCCTGTAGCCTCCATGGATATGCCTCTCCAGACCATCACTGACCCACCACCAAATCGGTCATGCTGAACCATGTTACAGGAAGCATAACATTCTCCATGGCTTCTCCAGACTCTTTCACATCTGTCATGTGCTCAGGGGGAACCTGCCCTCATCTGTGAAAAGCACAGGGTGCCTGTGATGGAGGTCATTTTGTAGGGCTCTGGCAGGGCTCATCCTGTTCCTCCTTGTACAAAGGAGCAGATACCGGTCCTGCTGATGGGTTAAGGACCTTCTATGACCCTGTCCAGCTCTCCTAGAAGAACTGACTGTCTACTGGAATCTCCTCCATGTTCTTGTCTCCTGGAATCTCCTCCATGCTCTTGTCTCCTGGAATCTCCTCCATGCTCTTGAGACTGTGCTGGGAGACACAGCAAACCTTCTGGCAATGACACGTATTGATGTGCCATCCTGGAGGAGTTGGACTGCCTGTGAACCTCTGTAGGGTCCAGGTATGGCCTCATGCTACCAGTAGTGACACTGACCCTAGCCAAATGCAAAACTAGTGAAAAACAGAAAAGATGAGTAGGAAAAAAAATGTCAGTGAGTGGCCTCCACCTGTAAAACCATTCCTGTTTTGGGGGTCATCTCATTGTTACCCATCTAGTGCACCTGTTGTTCATTTCATGAACACCAAAGCAGCTGAAACTGATTATCGCCCCCCTCTGTGACTTACCTGACCAGATCCATATCCCAGGAGATTCATTGACTTGATGCTAGACTTGGATCATTTGTGTGTTCCTTTCATTTTTTTGAGCAGTGTACATAAAGAAATTGCACTACAGCTACAAGCTGTAAGTTTCTTTCTTTTCTCCTGGCTGCAGGAGCTGGTCCTCCATTATCATAAGCCATTGAACATCCAATATATAAGTCCTTAAAAATGGGACAGGTAGCGTCCCCCAAAAAACAAAGTACATTTATTGTACTCAAAAGGATGAAATTACAAAATCCACCTGGTGTGGTAGCTAGCTAACGAGTTTCACTGGACCAGAGTTGTTTAACCGCCTGACCTCCAGAAGGTTCTTCTTTTGCTATTCAGCACTGAGCTACTTTACCTGGTAATTGTGCGGCCTTCTCTTTTGTGGTATTTAATCACCACTGGGTTCTTTAATTCTTGCTAGTTTTTTCCTACTTTCTGCTGTACCATTTTTCAAACAAATAATATTTCTTCATAACTTTAGGCCAAAATGTATTCGGCTACGTTTCTGTGGTGAAAATAACCAAAATCGGTGTTTATTGTTTAGTCTGTATATATATATGAAAATTGATCAATCCTGATATACTGACATAAGATCTCATTTCTTGAAGCCGAAAATGTCAGGACGGTACAAATCCCCCCAAATGTCAGGACTGTATAAATCCCCCCAAATGTCAGGACAGTACAAATTCCCCCCAAATGACAGGACAGTACAAATCTCCCCAAATGTCAGGACAGTACAAATTCCCCCCAAATGTCAGGACAGTACAAATCCCCCCCAAATGTCAGGATGGTACAAATACCCCCAAATGTCAGGACAGTACAAATCCCCCCAAATGTCAGGACGGTACAAATCCCCCCCCACATGTCATAACGGTACAAATCTCCCCAAATGTCAGGATGGTACTGTCACAGTATAGGTGCTGCCAGGGTGCCCCAAATCAGCTATGTCCACCCTCTCTAAAATAATACATTGCAGCCCCTCCAATAAAGTGCATTTCAGTCCCAATATTCGTTAGATTGTTTCCCCCAAATTCATTTAGCACGTTGATTCCACTAATAGCCAGCTGCTTCCTTCCCCCCATCAGGATGCCCCCCCCCCCCCCGCTGTCTCTCGTCCTGCCGTGGCTCTTTGAAGCCAAGCCACACAGGACAAGAGGTGCGGCTCCTCTCACCTCTCCCAATATCTTATCCCCATTCAGCGAGGCCGGAGGGGACTAGATAGCGAAGTTCACACCTCTCTGCGGAGAGGTGCGAACCTCCTGCAGAGGTGATCTGGACCGCGGTGTCAGGCATCCGCAGCACGGGTATGAATGCTTGCGGATGCCACCCGGACAAAGGCCGCACTCACGAGAGCGCAGCCTGTGTCCAGGGGGCGTGCCTCATTGCCAAGCAACAAGGCACGCCACCCACAGCTTGCCCACTGGTGCCAGGACGACCGGGAAGCCTCCTGCTTCGGTTTAAGAGACCAATTCCAGGCTCTTCCTGGTCATCCTCTTCCACTGCCAAGTCACTGAGGGATCCCAGCTGCGGTGGGACCCTCGTGGCCAACTCTGCAAGGATACGGGGGAGCCCCCACAAGCTGCCACGCACCCAAAAAAGACCCCCCAAGAATACGGGGGAGTCTCCACAGGCTGCCTCTCGGCTAAGACCCCCAAGGATATGGGGGGAAAGTCCGCAGGCTGCCACTCGGCTAAGACCCCCAAGGATACGGGGGGAGCCTCCGCAAGCTGCCACTCTGCAGACCCCCAAGCTAAGGGGGAGAACCACACAAGCTGCCCACTGCAAGCCCCAAGGATAGGGAGAGAACTACACCAGCAGCCCTTTGCAGGCATGCAGGACTTGGAGGGAATACTACCACAGACTACGTCACGCATACTCTGGACTCCGGGCAGGTACTTGTGTCATACTATCTTGTTCCCCTGTGGACCTGGGTGCCCCTGTCGGATCCATAAGTGTATGCTCCCCTGTTTTCCCTGAACTGTTTTTGTACTCCCTCTCCACCTCTCTGTTTGGATTACAAACTGTTGTAGAGACTTTAACTTTGCCCCTGGAGCTGGACTACAAGTGTTTGAGCCCTCTCCTTGCTATTTCCCATACTGGGCACTGTCCCACTCCCTGCAATCCCCCCATTGAGTGACTGTCATTCATCTTAATAAAGCTTTGTGTGTTTGCCATCCGCCTTGTGTGTTCTGTCCTGCCTACCCTCCGTCACAGGTACAAATACTCCCCAAATGTTAGGACAGTACATATCCCCCCAAATGTCAGGACGGTACAAAGCCCCCCCAAATGTCAGAACAGTATAAATCCCCCCCAAATACTAGGACAGTACAAATACCCCCAGATGTCAGGACAGTACAAATCCTCCTCAAATGTCAGGACGGTATAAATCCCCCCAAATATCAGGACAATATAAATCCCTCCAAATGTCAGGACAGTACAAACCCCCCCCAATGTCAGGACAGTACAAACCCCCCCAAATGTCAGGACAGTACAAATCCCCTCAAATGTCAGGACAGTATAAATCCCCCCAAATGTCAGAATGCTACAAATCCCCCCAAATGTCAGGATGGTACAAATCCCCCCAAATGTCAGGACAACACAAACCCCCCCCCCCAAATACTAGGACAGTACAAATACCCCCAAATGTCAGGACGGTACAAATCCCCCCCAAATGTCAGGACAGTACAAATGCCCCCAAATGTCAGGACGGTACAAATCCCCCCCAAATGTCAGGACAGTACAAATCCCCCCAAATGTCAGGACGGTACAAATCCCCCCAAATGTCAGGATGGTACAAATCCCCCCAAATGTCAGGACAAACACAAACCCCCCCCCCCAAATACTAGGACAGTACAAATACCCCCCAAATGTCAGGACAGTACAAATGCCCCCAAATGTCAGGACGGTACAAATCCCCCCCAAATGTCAGGACAGTACAAATCCCCCCAAATGTCAGGACGGTACAAATCCCCCCAAATGTCAGGACGGTACAAATCCCCCCAAATGTCAGGACAGTACAAATCCCCCCAAATGTCAGGACGGTACAAATCCCCCCCAAATGTCAGGACGGTACAAATCCCCCCAAATGTCAGGACAGTACAAATCCCCCATATATCAGGATAGTACAAATCCCCCCAAATGTCAGGACAGTACAAATCCCCCCAAATGTCAGGACAGTACAAATCCCCCCAAATGTCAGGACAGTACAAATCCCCCCAAATGTCAGGACAGTACAAATCCCCCAAATGTCAGGACAGTGCAAATCCCCCCAAATGACCCCTTTTTTGAAAGTAGATAGTCTGGGGTATTTAGTAAGAGGGGTGACAAGTTTTTTGAAGCTGTAATTTTTTTGTCACAATTTTTGGGAAAATGAAGAAATTAAATTGAATTTGTGTTTTGTTCCCAATTGTCACCAGTGCAGTAAAGCGTCATCATATGACTGGTGTAACGGTGATCAGAGATACTGACTAGTGACAGTATGCAAAAAAATAAATATTTTTTCTGTTTTTATATTTTTTTTACTTTTATCTTTTATTGTTATCAGAGTAGCTCAGGATCACCATAGTGACATTGTACTACACGGGGGGGGGGGGGGGGGTGACCAGGGGTTTGTTTTGTTTTAGTGATTGCTTGTTACAATGATGATCACTGTAACAGCAATCTTTTGAGCGGTCATGAATGGCTTTCATTCATGACTCATTGTTTGCTATTATGAAGTTGTGATTGGCCCACAGGTATCACATAGTACAGGTTTCTGTGATTAGCCCAGGTACCATGTGATCGCTGATGACCAATCACAGCTCACACACAGTATTAAATAATGATGTCATGAATGGATTCCAACATAATCAAGTTTATTGTCAGCCGTCTCCCATTACAATGACACAATCACAAGAGACATCGTAGGGACAAAAGTATACAAATGTATCTAAATGTCTCCAGAAAATCTCCATGGCTGCACCACCAGAGCTGGAAGAATTGTTCCTACAACCTCGCTAATGTAAAAACACACATCACATACAGGGAGAAAATGAAACGTAATGTATGTCAGAGCCCGTCCAAACCAACTAAATTACTGATAATAAACCCGTAATATTCCTGAATGACAGAATACAATCATTCACCTTGAAACACATATCATACAAACATGGGGTCACAATGATTCCTGCAGCAGACTATGTGGCCATCTGCGGGAAATCAAAGGGACCAAATGGACAAATGTGGCAAAACATTTCATAGATGTGCATGCTGGGAATGTGGATAGTTCAGGAATACAAAATATTGAACATATTAAAAAGTCAGTGAGGGGTCCTTGAAGTCATGACGCCAAGACGTTGTTTTTGCCTGTTGATTTGAATGGTATCATTTCCACTGTTATATTTGAGAGAATATCGAATTTCATCGGACTTTTACCTCCCCCATACATCCCATAAAATCCACACATACTCTGTTTATCTGCAGCCCGCTCTCCTCTTCAGCCTCCTAAAGCACACATTTTACACAGCGATCCTCAAAGCTCCAGAAGGCAGGGGGCAGGAATCTGATGTGCACAGCATTGAGCAGGGAGCTGGGTGTAATCTGAGATCAGAGTACATGGAATGGAGGGAATGGACACACACCCTCAACACATTCTCATAGGGAAACATGCACTGCTGAGGCTATCAATAACCCTTTGTGTGCTGGGGGGTGGCATCTCCTAGGATTTGTGGTGACTCATGCAGATAGCAGAGAGAAGAGAGAGCACTTTAGAAGGGATATGCTTTGTTCATTTTTCAGTTTAGAGACTTACAACCACTTTAAGGCAAGCAGGCCTATCAGTACTTGATTGTCCCCCCGTGTCAGTACACGATACTATGGTTCCTGGCCAACAACATCGAGACTGAGGGAAGGTAACACAAACTGGGTAGCTGTAGAATGGAGGCCCATGGTACTGCAGGAGATTGGCCTTGAGACCGTCAAAGGTCAGGGTAGACTGTGTGCAAGCCTGAACCAGTAGGCGGTTCCAAGGTCAGGCCAGGCAGCAGGTAAGCATCATCCAGTAAACAGTCTGAGGTCAAGGTAGGCACACAAAGAGAACAGCCAGCAATCTAAGCAGTAGTCAGCAGCATAGAATCCACAGTCAGGGACTATCAGGAGTTCAGGCAGGAAGCCAGAAAGCAGGAACTATCACAAGCCTGGAGCTCTGGGCCTCTGATGGTTAATGGAGAGCCATGGTGGAATAGCCAATCAGGAGGGAGGGGGCACAGCATGACACTGCCAGTGGGAGAGTGCCACCGCTGGCCAATAAGGGCAGAGGGCCACATTCAGCGAGGTGCTTAGAGCAGCAACAGGCCACACAGGAGAATAACTCAGGGGAGTGAGCACATCCAGCTCTCCTACAAAGATTAACTATCTATTAATTCATTTACTCATTATCCTTCACAGGATCCTCTGGAAGACGGAACAAGTCCAGAAATCCTGTAGATCCAGAAGAAGTGGATGGAGACCTTGTAAGGCCAACGCACAGAGGTATGACTGCTGGTACATTACGTCTTCAGTGTACAGGGTTAGGGTGATTAAGGGCCTGTTCACACCGTGCCTTGCAGCAATGCCCTTTATGCTGAATGGAACCCCAATGTACTCCTGCATTGATGACTCCATACTTCATAATGAACCGGCTCCAGCGACACAGCATGCTGCGCTGCATGATACATCCTTCACTGCAAAGCACTCTGGTGTGACTGGGCCCCGAGAGGGACAAATAATGACCCAGCATTGTGTATTTCCAGATATCCGGGTCATGAAAAGGATCATTACGGCTCTCGGTCTGCTGTGTCTGATACTCCTTGTGGTCATCGGAATTACTCACTGCGGTAAGAGAGTTCAGAGTGACGGAAGAATCATACCAGGTGGTATGTTGTGTCTGTGGAGGGGACTGCGCTGAAACATGGAGCATGTTATCCTGCAGTACAATATGGGGGTACAGTACAATGTAACGGCACCTGTGTTATCCCTCACTCCTCCAGCATCTGGCTCTCTCCTCCTCCTCTCCTCTCCTCCATCCCTCTCCTCCTCCTCCTTCCCTCTCCTCTCCTCTCCTCAACTCTCCTCTCTTCCCCTCCTCTGCTCCAACTCTCCTCCTCCTCCTCCTCTCTTCCTCTGCTCCTCTGCTCCAACTCTCCTCTCCTCCTCCTCCTCCTCCCCTCTCCTCTCCCTCTCCTCTCTTCCCCTCCTCTGCTCCAACTCTCCTCATCCTCTCCTCTCTTCCTCTCCTCCTCTGCTCCAACTCTCCTCTCCTCCTCCCCTCTCCCTCTCCTCTCTTCCCCTCCTCTGCTCCAACTCTCCTCCTCCTCTCCTTCTCTGCTCCAACTCTCCTCCTCCTCTCCTCTCTTCCTCTGCTCCAACTCTCCTCTCCTCCTCCTCCCCTCTCCTCTCTCTCTCCTCTCTTCCCCTCCTCTGCTCCAACTCTCCTTATCCTCTCCTCTCTTCCTCTCCTCCTCTGCTCCAACTCTCCTCTCCTCCTCTCCTCCTCCTCCTCCCCTCTCCTCCTCCTCTCCCTCTCCTCTCTTCCCTCTCCTCCTCTGCTCCAACTCTCCTCTCCTCTCCTCCTCCTCCTCCTCCCCTCTCCTCTCCTCTCTCCTCCTCCTCTCTTCCTCTCCTTCTCTGCTCCAACTCTCCTCCTCCTCTCCTCTCTTCCTCTCCTCCTCTGCTCCAACTCTCCTCTCCTCTCCCTCTCCTCCTCCTCCTCCTCCTCCTCCTCTCTTCTCATCTCCCTCTTCTCTCTTCCCCTCCTCTGCTCCAACTCTCCTCTTCCTCTCTCTCTCTCTCCTCTCCTCCTCTGCTCCAACTCTCCTCTCCTCCTCCTTCTCCTCCTCCTCCTCCTCCTCCTCCCCTCTCCTCTCTCTCTCTCTCTCCTCTTCTTCCCCTCCTCTGCTCCAACTCTCTCCTCCTCCTATCTTCCTCTCCTCCTCTGCTCCAACTCTCCTCTCCCTCTCCTCTCCCTCCTTCCCTCTCCTCTCCTCTCCCCCTCCTCTCTTCCCCTCCTCTGCTCCAACTCTCCTCTTCCTTTCCTCTCCTTTCTTCCTCTCCTCTCCTCTTTTCCCCTCCTCTGCTCCAACTCTCCTCTCACCCCTCCTCACTTCCTCTCCTCTTCTCTCCTCTTCTTTTCTCTCCTCTTCTCCTCTCCTCCTCCGCCTCTCCACTTCCTCCTCCTCTCCCTCTCCATTCCCTCTCCCTCTTCCTCTCCTCTCCTCACCTCTCCTTTCCTCTCCTGTCCCTCTCCCTTCCCTCTCCTCTTCCTCTCCTCTCCTCCTCCTCTCCCCTATAATCCT